CCCCCCCTTCCTCCCCCCTCCCGAACCGCTAGCTGTGTCTTTTAGACTTCATGGACGAGGCTGCGCGGACTAAGTTGTTGGCGTTGGTGGATCCTCGTTTCCGGGAGTTGGAGCCGAGTAACACTCGTTTGAATGAGCCGCGAGGACAGTCAGTTGGAAAAGTGCGGGCGGCTGCTGCCGTAAGCTCGCCGGCACGTGGTCCGGCGGTGGACGTGCGTCCGTTGTCTACACCGGCGGGACAGAAGTATGTGAAATTGAGTAACCACGTGATAACTCAGGTGGACGACCGTTCGGACTTCAGTTCAATGGTGCGGAAGGTGTCGATTGACCGGTTGAACGAGGAGAGTAAGAAGATTCGAGGACACCAGACCCCATTGCATCCGGCGCACGCGTTGGGACACGCGGAGTTACCGGACGAGTTGGCAGAGATGTTTATTCGGCGTTTGTTGCAGCCGAACATTTCACAGGAGATGGTTGAGGCGAGGTTCTCGTCCATGGCTGCGTTTTCCATTCCGCGTGAACACGTGCTCAAATTAATCATCAAATCCATCGACTTGATAAAGCGCGAGAGTATGGTATTGCACCTGCGTGCTCCGATCAAGGTGTTTGGCGACATCCACGGCCAGTACTATGATATGATGCGGCTCTTTGGCTCCTACCGGTGTCCCGTGGATGAGGCCTGGTTTGCCGAGTCCTGTTCTCCTGAGCTGGCTAAAGTGCAAGGAGACATTGATAGCACTGACTACCTTTTCCTGGGCGACTTCGTGGATCGTGGCTGCAACTCGCTGGAGGTCATCTGTCTGCTTCTGGCTCTCAAGTGCCGCAGTCCCCGCCAGATCCACCTGATTCGTGGGAACCACGAAGACGCGGCCATAAACGGCACCTATGGTTTCAAGGACGAGTGTCGCCGCCGCCTCGGCGAAGACCCCGACCAACCTGGTTCGTGCTGGAACCTGTTCAACATGGTTTTCGAATACCTTCCTCTCGGCGCGGTAATCGAAGACCGAATCTTCTGCATTCACGGGGGCATCGGCGGCAACGTCAACACCGTCGACGACGTGGCCAGCCTCGGCAGACCGCTGAAAGTCAGCCAGCTACCCACTACCCTCGAGGAACAAAAGGTTACAGACCTGCTCTGGTCAGACCCGACTGAAAACGACAGCCAAGTCGGCGTCATACCCAACGACGTCCGGGACCCTGAAAACACGGGACACATCACCCGATACGGACCTGACCGCGTAGTCGAATTCCTCGAAGGAAACAACTTGGACTTAATCATCCGTGCACACGAATGTGTTATGGATGGATTTGAACGCTTCGCCGCTGGCAGACTCATTACCCTCTTCTCCGCTACCGATTACTGTAATACACATAAAAATGCAGGTGCTCTACTGTATGTTCGCAAAGACTTGACCATCGTACCAAAGATGATATACCCTGCCTCCAGGGACGTACGGTCCACTTGGCTAACTTTGGACGCCAGACCACCCACGCCACCACGCAGCTCCCGCAGAGTCAAAAGCGGAGACGAATGGCAATACTAACGACACGGCTGCCACGAACACTTGGGAAGCATTTGGTTGCAATAAACACCTTGGCGGCCACAAACACCTTGGCGGCCACAAACACCTTGGCGGCCACACCATATACGCATGATTTTCACCTCCTCCATTGACTTCAATTGAAGCCAAGCGCAATATTGATTTACCGCTGCAAGCTACTTTGCCAACTTCTGCTGCAGCGTGAGGCGCACTGCCGACCTCGGACAGCACCAACTATGGTTCTGACTGCGGCAGGTTCTGCCATTTAGATTTTAACACAGTCGTCAGAATCCCGTCTTAGATTTTTGCTGGCTGTTAGATGGGTCTGTACGACTGGGACGGCGCTCCAACTTGGGCAGCCGCGATCAGGAGTTGAGGGCGATCAGGAGTTAAGGGCAGCCGTGATAACTTATTAGCAAACGAAAACTTGTTACTGAACGATTGTTAATGGTTGCTAATTGGTAATTCGACGAGAATAGGTTTACTTGTGTTGCTTGTGTGTTGCTTGTGTGTTGTTTGTGTGTTGCTCATGAATGTAGTTGTTGGTGAAGGTGCACAATGCACGTTAAGTAGGGTGCATAAGGTGCAGTATCATGCCTGAATTGAATGCGGTTCACAACCAGCGTTTGGCTCAACCGGCTGGTTCTGATACGGAAGTTGCGAGTTATGCGAGAGCGCGTGCTCTGTGGAAGGAAGCGGTGATGACTCGTGACGATCTGCCGTCTTATGAGCGTCTGTTGACTCAGGACCGTTTCATGTCCGTGCCACTCGGTGAGGGTGTGACGAGTTGGTGGCGTGATACAGTGGATCACATACACTCGACCACGGAGAGAGTGGCTCGTGACTACAATGCTCTGACGCGTGTATTGAACGATACTTACTGTAGCCACCGTTTCTGCATGGGTGCGGCGGAGGCTGCTAAGTTTCACGTGCAACAGATCGAGGCCAGAGCCAACTTCCAGCGCGCCCGTTACGGTCCCCAGTCCGACTTGTCTGCCTGCCAGCGGGCGTTGGACGACATGTACGAGTACCTAGAACTCGTCATGTCCAGAGATGCCGAGGTCACCAAACTCGCCGACGACGTGTTCGACGAGTGGGAGGTGGTCATGAACATCATGCGCAATCTCATCAAGGTGGACCAGGCCACCCATGAGGCTGCCGTCAAGGGAGAATCTCAATCCAGGGCAAATGAATTGCTAGCCCAAGCGGCAGTGCCCCACTACACCATTCCCGGCTACGCGCCTCTCGACCTTCCCGATGAGGTAGACAAGTCCCTGTGCGGGAACGTTCCCAGCTTCAAGGACTTCTACCACAGCAAGTACGGTAAGTACAAGCTTGGAGGAGACAACTATGTACTGATTGAGAAACCCCATGGAACCGAGCCCTTCATAGCCCATCTGGACTGTTGGCCCATGTTCCCGGAACCCTTTGAGGGCTTCAAGAGAAGAAGAAGCGGTTCAAAACCGACCAAACCTTTCTCTTTGGAAGTCATGGAAACCTTTGGATCCATCGTGGAAGGAGTAAGAAAATGCTTCAACGTCGACCTGGGCAACTTTGGCATCGACTACTTCGTCCCCTCCCCAGCTGTGGATGAGTCCAACGTACCCGCCTCTCTTGAGCTGGCCGGTAGCGGTGACCAAGTCTTCAGCGACCAAAGCTCTCTCGAGCCGATGACGCCCACGCAAGCGGCCCCCAAGGAAGTGGTGCCCACGCAAGTGGCACCCAAGGAAGTGGTGCCCACGCAAGCGGTACCCAAGGAAGTGGTACCCACGCAAGTGGTGCCGAAGCAACCCCCCATGGCCTACGTTACCATTGAGCAGGAGGTGTCCGACGCCATTAAGGCCGCGTCTGCCCGGTCGGCCCCGGAGTCGGTTCGCACCCCTATGTCTGGCAGTGGTGCACGTAACAATGGTGCAAACAAAAATGCGACTGCCAAGGGTGGCGTCGGAGCCGAGGCGAGGGTTGACGGAAATGTTGTGAGCACTGGTGCCGATGGTCTGAGTCGTATTTTGGGATGGGGCCAGTCAGCGCTTAGTTTTGTGAAGAGTCACTTTGTGGAGGAGGAGCCGAAACGTCTGAGACGTGAGAAGATGAACAGAGAAAGAGGGGTGGAGCCTGGTGCTGCTGCCCGCGGCCGCGGAGGCAGTCTGTTCCCCCCGGGCCTGAAGGCTTACAAGTTCAAGCTGGGAGGTGAAGCGGAGCCGGTCGATCTGCAAGCCGTGTACGGGTTCAGAAAAGATGTAAACCTGTATCCCGGCCAGACGGCGAGATCTGGGGCACTCTGTTTGGGAGAAGTGAAGCGCGTGAACGCCGACGAGGACTCACCCTCAAACCGTCCCGAGCCGATCGTCCGCTACAACCAGACGGTGGGCCTGGTCCCCACTAGGGCGCTGAAGCATGCCGAGTTCTGGGGCTACGGTGGAAAAGAACAGTCCGACGAGGAGTGGCCTAAGGTGACTCTACGTCAGCTGAGATGGCTGAGACTCTTCTACCACAGTCCGTACGTCTACGGAATCGAGAGAGAGGAGGAGGAGGAAGCGACCGTGCTGGACCCTTGGACCGGTGAAAGCGTCCCGGTTTCCAAATACCAGGACTATAACACGGAGCTGAGGCACAGAGCAGAGGCCAACATGGTGCCGCCGGCAGCGAACAGGTCAGCCGCCAACAGGTCAGTTGTCAACCAACCGGCAAATGATGGCGCGGCAAATAATGGTGCAGCGACCACTCTTGGTACCACAACGGTTCTTAGCGCGCCGGTTCGAAGCCCAGGGCAGACTGGAAGCGCGGCCGCAAGCCCAGCCGCGCCTGCCAGTCCGGCCCACATCAGGAGCCCGAGAAAAGTGGACGAGAGCTCCCGCGCCAGATGCATTCCCAAGACGGAGCTGCCAGTGTTCGCCCCGCCGCCGCAGAACTCCGCCGCGACCAGTACCTATAACCCGGGTCCAGGTGTAAGACCAGTGCCCGATATTCCGAGACTGAAATTTGACCCGCCGAGCGACACCACACCCGTCCAAGGAACGCCTTTCCAGTCGACCACGGCACAGATGCCGAACGGCCCAGTCCAGCAGAGAAGAAGCCACACCTGCGCCGCAGGCGGCTATTCTCCGCCTGAACCTCAAATGCAAGAACGCCAGATGCAAGAACGCCAGATGCAAGAACGCCAGATGCAAGAACGCCAGATGCAAGAACGCCAGATGCATGGACGCCAGATGCGTGGACGCCAGATGCCAGCACCCCAGATGCACGGCCGCGCTGGTCACCATACGACTAACGCTTACGACCGTGGTGCTGCACCGGTCTATGACCGTAGCTACAGTGGCTACGGCTCTCCAGCGATTCCGGGCATGCCTGTTGCAGGCAGTCCGTCCCACGCCTACCCCCCCAGTCCTTCATACGCCGCGTCTTCATATGCCCCCTTCTCCTACGCGGGACCTTCGTACACCACCTCTTCACCCTCGTACGCTAGCCCCTCTTACGTTGGCCCCGCATATGGCGGCCCCTCCTACTCCAGCCACTCCTACCCCGACCCGGCCGTGGCGTCGTACCCAATCAACTTGCCTCCTGAGGTCTACCGCCAGCCCGGCACTGGCCTACCGGTGTACGCACCGGTGAGCAGGCCTGGGCACAAGGTGGACTACTACAGCGAGGCAAAGCGTCTCGGCATTCGCACGATCGAGCACATCTAGCTGTGTTGACGGAGCTGTCTGAATGTTATCTCGGCGACCCCTCACCTGTCCCAAAACTGGACTCCACACCCGCCCGTTGCGTTTTGTCCGTCCGCCAACGGACAAACGCGCCGTAAGACGCTCTTCAGGCCGCCACCTGACGAGTTGACTGCGGCCGGTCACGGCAAAGGGACCAGCGAGAGACTATGGTAGGGGTCAAGCGGGGTCAGCACCAGCAGCACGATAGTCGGCACAAAAGGCGCAAGACGCACACACAGGTAAGTAGGCAGGCAGCACGGAGAGGGAATGGACGGAAAGCGATGCAGGCATTTCAGTGAAGCGAGGAAGGAAGCGAAAGGAGAAGAGAAGGTATAGAAAGGAAGAGTGCAAGGAGCGGGATAGAACCGAGAGAGGTGAGTGGACGGATTGGGTGTGGACAGATTGGGTAAGCAGCAGCGCAGTTGTCATTGGCAGATGGCAAAAATTGCGTGAGCGACTGGCTCATGCAAGCTGGTAGTTGGCTGCGGCTTTGATGCTGGTGAGCGAGTGGGGGTGGGATTCCTTCAAGGTAGCGGCAGTTATTTTTGTGAACCTAACTTTAGTCCACATGTCGGTAATGTATTTACATCCTACCAGGCCCATGCACGAGCGAAGGCCACCAGTAATTTGGTAGACGGTATCTTCCATATGTCCCTTGAAGGGGATGAGTCCTTCCACGCCTTCGGGTACGAGTTTGCGAGCGGTGGTCTGGAAGTACCGGTCGGCGCTGCCTTGTCGCATGGCGCCTTCGCTGCCCATGCCGCGGTAGACCTTGAAGGCTCGTCCGTCGATTTGTTTCAGCTCACCCGGCGCCTCAGCAGTCCCAGCGAACATGGAGCCCATCATGACTGAAGAGGCGCCTGCTGCCAGTGCTTTGGTGATGTCGCCGGAAAAGCGCATCCCGCCGTCTGCAATAATGGGGATATCTAATTCCCGTGCAACTTTCGCACACTCGCTCACTGCCGTAAATTGGGGACAACCAACGCCGGTGACGACGCGCGTCGTGCAGATGGATCCCGGACCAATTCCCACCTTAACACAGTCTGCACCGCTCTCTACCAGTGCCACAACACCTTCCTGAGTGCACACGTTACCGCCCACTAGGGGAATGGGCCGGCTGTAGTCCGAGTCGTCCGGAACGGAGTCATGGGCTTGTCTATCAGACGCTTTCCTGTTGGGGAACAGCGCCCTCAGTTTGCGGATCGTTTCCATGACGCCCTTGCTATGGCCGTGCGAGGAGTCAACCAGTAAAATGTCGACTCCTGCGTCCACGAGTGCCCGTGCACGGTCTAGAGTGTCTGCAGCGCATCCGAGAGCGGCTCCGACACGTAACCGGCCACGGGCATCAACAGCCGCGTGTTCCGCGCCCTCGGGGACGGGCGCAGTTTTGACGGCCTTCACTTCGGCCGCTTGTCGCTCAGCCGTCATGTTCTTGTGGATGAAACCCAACCCACCTGCGGCCGCCATGGCCACGGCCATACCACTTTCCGTCACCGTGTCCATCGCCGCCGACAGAAGCGGCAAGTTCAACTGGATATCACCTGCCAAACGTGTGTGCAACAGCGCCTCATGCGGCAACACCTCCGAGTAGTTGGGCAACATCAACACGTCGTCGAACGTCAGTCCTTCTTGGTACGACATTGCGGGTCGAGTCCCGATTTTTCCGCCAAAATAATCCCCACTTTAATCCCGGCGTGGCACAGCAAAAGTTCCACCAAAAACGTACAGCAACTATAACGCGAGTAAGCAGAACCGGGATAGAGCTATCCATGAAACAAAATCTAGCCGAAGCCAGCATGGTACAGCTAGATTACCGACGGTTTGACTACCGACAGCTAGATCACAAACGTTTCGAGCCGCGCCCAAAGAGACTAGTCAGCAGCTTCCGGAAACCAGATGGACGCTTTGATCTTTTCCCCTCGTCCGGCAGTGCAGTGCTAAGCCTTGATGATAACAACTCCAACGAGGAATATACCGGGCTCGAGTTCGTACAGCTGCCAGGAGGGGTTGTGGAGTTGGGCCGACTTCGCAACGCTTCTTCCAGGCGCTTGTTCGCCGGGGGCGTCCTGTCGACGCCAATCGGCCCCTCGGCATACTCGTTGACCTCAGTGGCCAGCTGCTGGAAGTTGTCTACGGTCTCCAGCCACTCGTTAGCTTTGTTTAGGGCTTCAGCCTTGACAATTTCGTCGGCCTTGCTCTCTTGCATGATGAGCATCATCATCATCAGGAAAACGTCCGTGGAGTCCTTCTCAGTAAATTCCGTCTGCCTCCTCTCTCGCAAAGCATTGATCCAGGAAGGATTCACCAGGCCATAGTGGTACCTCTTTCGGGTAGCGACATAGTCCCATACTTTGAAAGAGGTCTCAGGACCAGAGACCTCAGGCTGTTGCACAAGGATCTTGGAGGGATGCCAATCGATCATAGTCCACCCTGACTGCTGAATCGCCTCTGCTCCCGCTACCGCATCTTTCCAAATTTTTAGAGCCAATTTGGTGTCGACTTTGGGGATAAAGGAGCATAAGTCGCCGCTGTGGTTGCTTTCATACCCGGGCACAAAGAAGCCTCTGCGGCCGTCGAACTCGATGTCGTCCTGGAACTCGAACCCCTTCTTGAGAAGAAACTCTCCTTTTTTCGAGTCATACTTAAACCGAAAAAACTTCGTCGGTGAGCATACATTCTGATGGCACAGTCCTGAATCCTGAAGGGACTCGCAAATCTCATTATAACCACGTGCATCTAACCCTTCCCACTTAACTAGGCTGTACTCCTCCTGTTTTGCTTCATTGTAGCATTTCACTTTCGCGATGTTCATACTCTCTAACGTACTGAACGCAGACTTGATTTCCATTTCCTCAATGGTAGCAGGATCCGTATCTTCAAAACTTCGTAGGACGTTAAACACCGGGCAGCTCTTTCCCTTGGCACTAATCACATGGTTCTTCCGGAGCAGCAACACCTTCTTCTCAGAGGGACATGGCAAAAATTCCACATCCAGAGCTGCCTCCAAGTCCTTGACCGTCATAAGTGTTCCTGTCTTGATTTTATTCAAGCGACGCACCACCTCCTTCGGGCCATCCTTGCTCTTCAGATGACTCACCAATTCAGACATTCTCCACACTCCCGAAGGGTCCATTCGAAGGAAACAACAACAACTGGAACATAGACTCCAAATATCTACAACTCCGGAGGAGCAAACGGCTTTGAAAGTCAACATTCCCCCCTCGCCCAAACTCGCCTTTTGGCCTCAATAAAAAATTGCCTTAGGGACCTAACTAGCATCACGGTGCCGGGCAACTGTGCCGGGCAACTGTGCCGGGCAACTGTGCCGGGCAATTGTGCCGGGCATTTGTGCCGGGCAATTGTGCCGGGCATTTGTGCCGGGCATTTGTGCCGGGCAATTGTGCCGGGCAATTGTGCCGGGCAACTGTGCCTGGCTAACTAACTATGAAGGGTTGATTGTGAAGGGTTAATTGTGAAGGGCCACCACTGGCTCCGTGACGTCGATTTTGGGATAATCGTTCTACTTGGTCAGCTAGAGATGATGGATTAGCCCGTCCGTACCTTGCTTGATCAGTTGTCCGATTAGTCACTGAATGACTTGAAGTTTATATTAACAAGCACTGCAAACCTTGGTATGACCTGTTGGGTGTTATAGACAACGAACTCGTTATACATGAGCTGCGGTAAAGGTTTCCTATTGACCTTTTTTTGGGCGCCAATCGGTATAAGAATCGGGTGTGGCATATCCACAGAAATCTCTTTGCTTGGTTGAAGTCGTCCATAGCCTAGCACAGATTGGTACTGTTGTTTTGGTCGTTCATTCTCATCAAGTTGACAGCCGATGTCATATTGTTTGATGATACTCTCATTTGCTTCATATGCTACAAGTACATTTCCTAGAATAATTTCGCACAGAAATAGAACTGACTTATCACCGTAAATTTCGCTGTGACAATATTGTGCAGCTTTGGAGCAGGTATCAGTAAAATAGACGCCCTTGTCAAACATGTAGCCCGATTTTGGCGCTTCGGGTGGTGCAATTTTGAACCCGGAGCTGAAAATGGATGCTAAGTTCGACACTCTCGTACCATGCCATAATAACTTACGGTGTAGTATTGCTCGAGTACTGATGGCAGGGGTGGTAGCTCCGCCGTCTAGTTCGTAGATACTATGTATTTTTATGGTCATAGAATCATGGGTTAAACCGTGTCCTCGAAGAACGTATAATTTCAATAATTTGTATATATCCGAATCATCCATCAACTCACTTTTGACTTTACAAAACCAATTCGAAGCCAACTGGTCTTTCGTTTGCGATGTAGACTTGATGATGTGAGCAGACTCCATGGTTTGAAGTAGCGTTTCCAGCCGCGTACATTCCTGCTTCAAAATTAAGGGAGTATCAATCACCGGCAGGGTCCTCTTCCCCGTTACCACATGAGGTACGTGCGCATAGTAAGAACTACTCAACGCCTTCAGTTTCTGGCTCATTCTCATCTTCTCGAGCGGCTGCTCTCTCTTTTGTAATCCTTCATCCACTCTCTTGCTCCCAGTGTCCTCCCGAATGACCGTCTCCATCTCGGTCAACAAAGCATAACCGGTAAGAATTTGGTCTCTTGATAAAGCATCCAATCTCGTAACATCCAAATTCAAATCTGAAATGGTACGAGAAATATAGCTCTGGCTGTACACTAAAGCAAGTAACTCCTTGCCAACAACCTTGTTCTCTCCAGACAACTTAACTTCGCCGAAGGCTGCACCCAAGCTATCTTCGCCACTTGCCTTATCTTGGCCATCAAGGCTGTCCCGGGACATATCCCCTTCCTGTTCGGTCCCGAAATGCGGGACCTCAGGATCCTTGTTTTCTCTATCGTAACCCTTTGTATCCACGACTTGATATCTGCCTACGATCTTTTTCCTACTGAACCGTTCGTTAAAATCAAGGCCTGTCAAACTGAAGAATTTCTCTCTGAACCCACTTATACATCCCTCTAAGTCAGCTCCATACTCCTCTGCCATTGAGTTGTTTGTGGTCCGATCGTCTTCGCCTAAGCGACCCCACTTCTTGAAAAGAAAATATTTACAAATCTTCGCTGCACACATCTCGTCATATTCGTCAGGATCCATTGACGCGTAATCAATCCATTCGGAGTTATACACTAGTTCCTCCCATTCCATTACGCTACGCTGTCCAACGCCTCGATTCTCGTCAACAGCAGTATGTTTGCCATTTTCTTCGCTTTCGTTCGTCTTTTGTTTTTTAACCAACTTCTTGGGAGATACTGTACCACCTCGCCGCTTTCTATTCAGGTCGCTGCGTATTCTAGACACTTCCAACAGTTGTAATTCGTAAAAGCTGTTCTTGTTATGCGTTAAATCAACATAGCACACGCGTGTGTTATAAGCATTGTTGTTGCGGTCAACATAAATTGACAGGTTGAATTTCCCTAATCCATCTTCTGGAAGCGGAAAATCCACATCGATTTGCATCAACGGAGAATGCCGCTGTATACGAGGCTGCTTCCCACCGCCACCGCCAGCATTGTTAGCGTCTTCAATTGCCGGAATCGGGGCGTCGAACGAACGAACACCATCCAATCGAAACAACTTCATCTGTTTAGCTAACCGCAAGTTACGTCCAGCGGGCCATGTCTTGGAGGAAACCGTCGCGTCTCCGGACTCCGTGTCAATAGATATTTCCTCACCCTTAGCTAAAAGTGCCACCGCGTATTCCTCCCGTACAATGATAGCACCCGTCTGTAACACAGATTGCGATTTTGCATTCTGCCGTATCTGTGACCAAGAAACCCCATCAACCAGACAAAACGACCTCCAGCCAATAGGAGGATTTCCCAATTGATTAGGGTCATTCACCCACTTGCCACCATATCTTCCTACAGCGCCAGCAAAACTATCTTTGTCAATATGCCGTAAGGTTCCCAGCGTGCTGAATAACATCCCCGTGAGCAACGCCGTTCGAGGCAACTTGTCGAGATCTATTGATGACGTCTGTTTGCGGGTACCAGCCAAAACCTTGGACTTTAGCTCTCCATTGAATTGCAGCCCAGCAGTTTCCGCATTAGCGCTGATTGTTTTCAAAATAGCACCTAATTTTTTCCAGATTGGTAAAGTTGCCATGTGAGGCGGTACCATCATGAACTTGCTTCGCCCGTCAAGGGGTGCAATCTGCTCGGAAACAGGATTGGGTAAACACGGGTTTGCGGAGTGCCAGTAATCACATTTGGTAGTAGGCGCAATGTAACCAATGCAGTAATAAGAGTATGCGGCCGGAAACAAGGTCATTTGTTGACATAAGGGACAGGTTGGAGGCAATCCGCGTAGTAAACAATCAGCAAACACGTGTGGGACAATCGAAATTGCGCCGTGATGATGGGTAAATATCTCTGCAGAGAATCCATTAAACGAAAGTATACTGACCATGGCCTGAACATTCATCTTGCTGTCCAAAATAGTTTGTCTCAGCACTCCGATGCCATTGACTAAAAGCTTGTACTTTTTCAATTCCTCTCGATTGACTAACAAATCATATTCCCATTGATCTGCCGCCTTTTGCAAATCTCGCCATGGTAACATCCCTAGCATATGGATTTCGTCCAGTTTCCTGGCCCATTTGATTCCGCAGCACAAATGGTTGTACTGAATATCAAATCCATCGTGCCATGGAGATCGAACTTTGCGGCAAAACCTCGCGCTATATAAAGAGATTAGGTTGCCACATTTCTTGCAAGATGCCCGACCTGAGGGCGCCAGATCTACGTAGTATTGCAAGTGTATCGGCTCCGCGGTGATAGCTCCGACCATGAGTTCTTAATTTTAGTCAGAACTGTGCCTGTGCAGTCTCAGACCAAGTTCGGGTGTGCCTGCAGGCCACAGGGAATATAACTTCGGAAGCCGAGACTATTAATGAAAAGCTGATAAAATCGGTACCAAAAAGAGCAGGATCATCATCTGTCGTGCGGTGGTATCAGAAAGAGCAGGGTCATCATCTCATTGCCAGGCTCACGGGGGTTTGGTCCGTGACAACAGACAAGGGGTATGCCTCTTATGCTACAGTCATCATGCTGTTTGACATCACTGTCGTGCGGTGGTATCAGAAAGAGCAGGGTCATCATCTCATTGCAAGGCACACAGGGGGTTTGGTCCGNGACAACAAGCAAGGGGGTATGC